CGTTTATGGTAAAATTTTGGAAAATGGGAGTGGCACCGCCCACTTATGATCACATATAAGTATACCGGTAACCGTTCTACCAATTTGTACCAAACTCGGTATGGTTATTGTACTTGCCACGTGTAAGCAAAACGTTGAAAATTATTGAAATCGGACTAATATAACGGCCGATTCTCATATAACGGTAAATTTAAGAAATGCTTGAAACTTCAATATTTCGAAATTGAAGGACGCTAATTTACTCAAAATTGTTACAACTCGGCTTACCATCTAGCGGAAGGTTTCGGAAGGGTGAAAAAACATATATTTAATACTTGCGCCGGGTATTTAATGTTCGGCTCCGCCCGAACTTAGCCTTTCTTACTTGTTTAGATAAGTATTGTTCTGACACTCCCTGAGTCATGTATTAGAACATGCAACATCAACATCTTATAGCACAGCTGTGCTATACATTGAAATTCGACAATTCTAAAGTCGTGCCTAGTAAGTAATAAATTAGTGTCTCTCTTTTTTGATATTCCCGGCACAAAAACTTTTTCTCGTTTGTTACCTTCCTTATTTGTCTAGCAGCTAGATATAAGAATTTCGTCCGACGAGCTCCATGACTATGACCCATGAAGAGTCTAGGGCCTCTGAAACCTTCTGCTTTGAGGTGACTTCGTGTGCTCTCAGCGCGAGAAGCACCGACCTTTTGTCGAGAGTGTAAATGTCTTTGTTGATCGCCCTACTTTCTGCTTACCGCCTCACGCATAGTTCAATGCCATGTAGCTCAGCCTGACAAACAGATTTAACTTTCCACATGCCAGTGAAAAAGAGACTTCTAGGTTGTATAACTTTCTGACCCATGGTCGGTCTTGTAGTAATCAGTATACTAGACCTGGATATCTTTCCGCGGTTTTGGTCGTTTATTGCATGATACAAAAAAGAAGGTAGTTTCAATAAACAACTTTTGACGGATAATAAAATTTTTTGAAGTTTCATAAATTGTCAGTATTATCAACGGCCTTGCCACTTTGATAATATTAAAACAATGCATCGGAGTATTTTCTTTCCCATATTTTTACCAATGTGAGAATATTTCAAATCAAAACTCACAATCAGTACTTGATATTTTTTTACTTACGTGGTTTGCCCCTCTTTTATTAAAAATATATAAAATGTAAACTGTTACATTGTAATTATTCTTTTTATTTTATAATAAAAACCATTAGTGCATTATGTTGTTATTTTTTTCATTTTTTAATTTTGATATACAATTTTCGTGTCTTTAATCTTGCGATTTAAAAATCGAATTCTAAAGAATGTTCTTCCCAAATAAAATCTTTTTATAATATTTTGGTCCAAATTTACTTTTAAATTTCTCATCAGATTTTGCAAAAATTTTGGCTTTGTGGTTAGCGAATCACCATTAATTTCAACAAATTTTGAATTCAAAATTTCCAATGTATGCAAAAAACTTGAATTAGGCTTGTACAGACCGCCCTCCGATAAACAGTTAACATACGTATAATTTTGATCACTTTCTACATGCGTCCTGAAGCCTAGTTTTGTCAACCCCATTTTCGAAATTATGTAGCCGGCAAAATTTTCAAGTCCATCATATTCCACATCTTTGAGTGGACTGATGAAATCTTCTGCTTCATGCTCTTCTGCGAGCTACTTAAAAAAATTGGAAATCAAATAAAAACGAAAGGGTAAGGAGTTTACCTCGAGTTCTTCTTCTGCGGATATTTCAATATCGTTAAGTGGTTTGAAAACATTTTCACTGAGCAACTCCTCTTCAAATTTTAACATTACTTCACTTGAAGACTCAACATTTGTTTCCGTGCTCAAAATAGTTTCGTTTCGCCCTAATAAAGTTCATGCATACATTTTAGAATCTTTATGACAACAACAATAATTTCTTTAAGTGGTTAAAAAATTACCTAGAAGGTATGATCGAAATCTGTACTTGAATTCGAGAGGTGACGGATGGTCATGCAGCCCTCCTTTCATATATGTTCAATAACTTCACTAAACTTCACTCATTTTCATACATTTTTGTTTACTTTTACAAAAAAAAAAAATATTATCTCTGGTGATCAGGTACCATGAATTTTATGAAATGTCGTAATTTTATTAAAAGTCAAATGGTTAGCAACAACAACGAATGTCATTAAATGTTTACAGTTCAATATTCACATATTTTATTGTAAAAATCTTCAAGGAATTCGAAATGAGGTCATCTCAGTGCTTATAATATTATGATTTACTACTTCGTATTGCTTATGTGCGTTTTGTTCTTGTTTTGCTAGTTCGCTTCAAGTTTATTTGATGATGACTTTTTAAATGAATTGTATATTGAAGTCTTAGTCCCCATATTTATAATAATATGCTATACATTCTTTCAACTTTTCTGTGAGATTTTCAATGAAATTATACGTGCCAAAAAGGTGGCACAGATACCAGTTTTTTCCCCAAAATAAAAAAAGGTATTTAAAAACGAAAAAGGAAATAACCAAAGGCTATAAAATTCTCGGACCGCTACGAATATGCATATTATTATAAAAACAATGTCAGGTAACTTTTGACTGTTGTTATTGTAAGCAAGAAATAATGAATTTTTTTAGGGGGGAAAAAAATAAAGGCAGAGTTTGGCTAGTATTTTCTGAGCAAAAAATAACCCCCGAAATATTTCAAAAATTCCGAAAAACGGGAAGCATCAAACTTCCGAAAAACGGGAAGCATCTCGTAAGGTAGTAGTACAAAATCCGGAAAAGTTAAAAAAATTGAAACGAAAGGTACTCCAAAGTCACGAAAATTTTTAGAAAAAATCCCAAGAAATTAAGCACGAAGTATTCAGAAAAATTCGTACAGAATTCCAAAAATGTATGCGAAAACCTCGAAAGATCACAAAAACAGATACTCGAAGCATCCTGCGAA